GGACAGACAGGGCTAGATCGACTCGCCTTGTCACGCTGATCAAGAATATATATACTTTCTATCTGTTAAACTTATTGAAGCAAACGAGTATTACTACCAGCTGACTTATTTAGGATTTTGTGTGTCTAATATCTAATGATATGCGTGTGTGTACTTGAAAATGGTTGCCTAAATAACTTTTGAGGTGGGTCATCGGGGCAACGGCCAACACAACTGATAAATGTTGTTCTCTTGCAATAGTTTGATTTGCGAGGCGTATTCGTCACAATACATGTCAGAAAAGAAAAGCATAGTTTCTGGCGCACCGATGTTGACATACTGTACTCGTATGTACGCTTTTTATCCTTTTTTCTGCTTCTGTATAATTCAAGTGAGCACAATTTGATGAGGAGGGGCAAGAAATATTGTTCTTTTAGTGCTCGACTGCCTCCGGCCTTGAGACAATTTGAAAACGTTTTCTGTGACATTTGAGGCCGCTGTCACCCTCACATCCGGCACGGTGCTATTTGTGTGTGTCACAAGTGAGCACCTTTGGAGCTCGTGTAGACCATTTTTGCAGCAAGACTAGATATAACGGTCAATCATTTTTCGAGTGTCGTGTCTGGCAACAAAGAATTACAAGCAAATTGCAGAATATTTTTATGTCATGCTGTAACATTTATCAGCAGGACGACTGCGAGCGTGCTTTTTTATGCTGTGTCATAAATCTCGCAGAAGGTGACACATAAAAAGCACACACACACTCACACACATACATGATTTAAATTGTGCTCTTGTTTGTCTTGATGTTAGAAATATGCGCAAGGTCAAGTAGCAGGAAAGGTGCAAAGGCAAGGCAGTAAAAGAAAATTTGCAATTAGCTCCAGAAAAAATAAAATAATTCAGTTATTGCACTGCTGCAGCAGCGGCCACTGACCAGCTCGCTCCCCTCCTAATTGTGAGCCAAGGGAACGCTGTGGACAGCATAGAAAATCGCCATAAACAAGACGGTTCCCAGGCACAGACTATTAAGAATAATGTGGGGCGTAATTTAAAAATAATGTCCCTGGAGGCACATGAATATGGCAACGGTAGCATTGCTAGCGCCATCGGTGTGTAGGAGGGAGCGGTAACATGGGTCGGTGGCAAGGATAAAATAAATGTAAACAAAGTGTTGGCAGCAAGTACTTCCTCATTCTGAGCAGCAACACAACCAACAGAGGAAGCGTTGCTGATACACAACATCTTCGTTTTCATACTCTAGCAAGTGTAAATAACATGCGATTCTAGGATAATTGTAGAACGTAGTTATCTCATTTATTATTAGTTAGTCGCTCGGGGTAAAATTTCATTCCATGAAACAGTTTAAAGAGTAGATAAAAATTTCTTTACATGTGAAAGTCAATCTCAATAATTTCTTTATTAATTGTTTGTCATGGAAATTCGCAAATCAGTTCCAGTGTTTGTTTTCCATATGCATACATTTTTATGATAAATACTTTGAGATATATGAGAGAATCATTTTCGAATGAATTGATGTATTTAATGAACAAATAAGGTTAAAACTTAATTGAAGACACTCTTCCAACAATTTATTTTCACCTCTTTACGAATTACAATGATAATGATTACAAATTTTCAAATATTCTCAAAAAGCTCATGACATATGCCATTCTTCTCTAAGTGTACTTTTTGTTTTCTATCTTTTATTTGCAACTCCGACCCACAAGTGTCGCCAACGATGCTGCTGTTGCAGCAACAACAAAAACGGACATTACGTATTTATGGCGACGCGCTCAAAAGTATGCCGTGAGTTTGCAGAAAACGAAACAGAAACGATGGCAGCAGCTGGTCTGCGGCTCCGGGCAATGAATAGAAATTACGTGAGAATGGCGTGGAAATGGAAAGAGCCGTAGTGGAGGCGACTTGGCTGCTGTGAAGTGCAGTCCAGCAGTGGGTCAGTGAACTGTGGGCGTCCTAGCCGAGAATGCTGCTGACGCTGTTTGTTTGTTTGCATAAAATGGAAAGTCGCAGCAAAAAATAGAAAAGCTAAGGCTTGGCCTTTGTTTAACCAAAAGGTTGCCTTAGCGATGAAAGCAACAGAAATAAAAGAGATTGTGTTAGTGGGGCCGGAGGCTGGCTGACTGGCCATTTGGCTAAAAGCCTGTCAAAAGGTGTGCCCAGCAAACTGAGCCAGCCCCAGCCACCAGGCCCAGAACACTGTTGACCAGTTCGAAGAATGTCAATTTCCTTTTTTGTGACCAACATCAAACGCACTTTTGCTTCTTTTGTGTTGGCTGCGTATGGTTGTGCGTTCGAGCGCACACTATACTACAAAGTTCAGGGCTATGGCTGCCACTCGACCGGTAAAAAAAAACCCGCGCTCTACGTGTGAGCGCGAAATGTTGTAAAAATAATTGAACATCTATTGATTTTACATCAAACTGAAGTGACACTAATGCCAAACCGCCGAACGTCGACGTAGGTGGGTCCTCATTCCAAGCCGGGAAGTGCCGACAGGCGTCTAAATGGCAGCAGTTTTAAATGCCTCAATACTTTTTGATGAGGGTGCGTATGGATGCCGGTATGCTCCAGTTAGAGGCAGCTGTGGGCACTTCTGTATTTATTTCTGTTGTAGATGCGAGCTGACGTACAGCCTTTAAGTCACTTAAACTTCTCAGCAGGACTCTAAGCTGCTCGGAGGCTAACTTCAATTTGAGCCAGTGGGTTTCTTCAGCTGGGCACAGATTTTGTCGGACTTTTATTTCGTTAAAAGGTGATGTAAGCAAATGGTTACCCTTTCTACGGGGCACTCTAGTTCCATTACATTTTTAATGCTTTTTCATTATTTTCGTGAGGCAAATACAACAACTATTGCAAACTTTAAATGAATTTTATTGTCAGTTTGTTAACTTGTATGTTCACCCACACATGCCTACACATCTGGCGGCACGCAGCTTTTCCTGTCGCCATGTTTAATGTTTACACAGGCAACAAATTACGAAACTAAAAGTTAAATAAAAACTTTACCTTTTTCATTATTTTAGTGCAAAGTTCCACGATAAATGCATTCTGTTTTGAAGTCAGTTTGTTTTTCGAGTACTGCCGAGAGCCTTGCCTACTCTCGGGTGTGTGTAGTGTCACAGATAAGAAGGCAACATATTGTCATTGTGGACGCGGGTCCCTGTTATATAACGGTATGACCCTGAACCCGATTTGAAAGTATGTCGAAAAAATTCAAAATTCTGTAATTTCACCATTTATTCATAAGAGCATTATTCAAACGCAATTTCATTGTTGTCCTGCCCAACTGTCTGCTCGTTTCCAGAAACTGGAGGATCCAAACTTTTATTCTTTCGGCTTAAAATTTATATATCATTGTTATGGCAAATGGTAGCGAACATCTATGCATATCTATATCTCCATGCATATTTTTATACGCAAGCAGTTTGACGGTATTATGTGATTTCTAACTTAATTTTCTTCTGCAGTTATAAATGAAAGTCGAATGCAAAAAATGAAATATAGTTAAACGTGAAGACAGACCTATTTATTCATTATACATTTCTTTTGGCCTGTAAGGATAAGCAAATGACGGAAATCTTGTTTGCTATTACATAGCTGCCTTGTTTCTCTTACAAAAGCTGATTGTTATAGACCTGCGGGGTGAACTGCTACATTAATGGCAATATTGCATACTTTTGGGGGCAAACAAAGCTAATCTATTCTAAAAAGGTATAATTCATTGTGGGTTATTTGGGATTCGTTAAACAGTAAAGCTTTAATTATAACCACATTCAGCAGTAAATATACGATACTACGGTACTCAAGCATAAACCAGAACAACCACAGTAAATGCGATGGCCTTAATTTTAGTAAAAGCCAACCAAATGATGCTTCCAAGAGGCCATAATGTTTGGCCCATTGAACGAGTGTGAATTTAACTGTGATGGTTGAACTACAGGCGGAAATAGCGCCTGTCTGGTGTTACCATTTGCTGCTATGGCTATTCCGTGGTTGAAAACATATAAACGTAAAACTCATCCAAATTATTGGTTTCCTTTATCTATAATGCATTACTTATCAACTAAACTTATTTCTGCAAATTCTTTATGTCTGCAACGCTCTTTTCATAGCTTGTACCCAAAGGGTAAAAGACTATATTAGTTTGGTGCGAATGTATGTAACACACAGAAGGAGGCGTGGCTGACCCCATAAAGATATATTATTGATCAGAATGTCAAGACGATATAGCCTTGTCAGTCCATCTGTTTGAATGCAACGATCTCAGAAAGTATAAGAGTTAGAATTACCAAAATTGAATCCAGCTTCTCCTGAGTCCGAGAAAAAATTAGTTTGAGTTTTTTTTCTAATCCCCCGAAATTAGTGATTTTTAATAACTTCCGTAATTCTTAGAATTTCGAACTCAAATTTGGTAGTTCCATCCAGTTAGTGATTTTAAGTTTTGCCCGCAGCTGTTGTTGTTGCCGCTTGTATGTAAATATATGTATGAACTTATTTATGGATGTGTGTTGAATATTTTATATTTTATTATAATATTTTTTATAGTTTTTGTGTTTTAATGGGGTGAGTACAGGGTATTTAAGAGTTGAGCCCGCTCAACTCTAGAGCTCACCTATTCCTTCCTTGATTTTTTTTTATTTTTAGAACGGATGACAAAATAATTCAACAAAAGCAAATATGGCTTTATTAATATTTCGATATTTCATTGGTGGAATTAAAGATAGCACAATTAAGAAAAACTGCAAGTTACTTATTGAGCGTTCGTTTAACGACGACGCTTATGTAAAGTCCTGACTAAGGGGTGATAAACTGCGTCTCTAAATATAAAAGTGAACTAGTCCATTTTCCACATTTTTTTTGTTGGCCCATTTTCAGAAAATGCGAAAGCTCTCCGCCAACTACAACGTTTTGTAGCCTGAGACAGAGGAAATATGTACTTCTAGTATCCACGCAATGGTTGATGGCAAGGGTGGTGTTGGGCATGGAAAAACACTTACCCAGTTCCCAAGTCCGCTGTGGTCGAGACCGTGTCCATAATGGGGCGCAGCATTGGGATATTTGGAAGCGAATGGCAGCGTTGCTGCTTCCGCTTGCCTTGACAGTTGTTTTTTGCACTGCTCGATGGGTTGGTGTGGGCGCAAGTGGGCGGGTCCGGTTGTTCCTGCAGCTGCTGTCCGTTGAACTTGTTTGTGGATATTTGTTTCAAGTTGCCAGTGCTGCTGCTGTTGTTTTTTCTGTTGCTATTGCTGCTGCTGCAATGAAGAGGGGCAAGCACGCAGTCAGTTGGTTAGTTAGTGATACATAGCATTGTTGCTACTAGTATTTTTGTTGTTGGTTGTGGAGTGTGTGGTGCTGCGATAGCGTGGCAAAAGTTTTGCACTGTTCGTGCCCATTGTTTTAGTTGGCTGTCCGGTCTATATTGTGATAAGTTCGTGGCATCAACATATTTTTGTTTAGTTAGAGGTTGCCCCCTTTTTATTTCGTAGAGGAACGGCACTGCCTCGTCCTGTCCTGCCCAACACAAAATATGTTCAGCCATAAATCAGTTTGTTACACTTTCCTGGTAATCTTTCAATATTTATGCATAGCCAACTTTTACTTGCCATAATTTTAAACTCGCTCCTACACAGGCTTTGATTCCTAGAACTGTTTATTGATTTGTCTGTTAATAGCAATAAAAAACCTAAGGCAAAAGCCTTACTGCACTATACACTGGTGTCCTCCTTTGGCAACCTACGGCCATTTTTCATCACAATTCAATTTAATTCAACATGGCTCATAAATTAAATGTTGAGCTTCTTAAAGCCTCCATTCCTTGCATATTATGGCCACCGGCCATATTTCCGCCCACTTCAAATTTTAACTACTGCCCGTCTATGATTTCCATTAAATTTCCTTAAAAAATTTCACCCCAAAAATAACAAACTTAGACTAGAAATTGTTGCGAAAGTTCATTAATGAGAATAAATCATTCTTTTTCAGCGAAGATGATTAATAATTGTTTAATTTAATGAGATATGTGTTGCCTTTAAAAGAAATTAAATGCAAACAATTTATGAATTGAGCGTACTCGCAATTATGCACATGTACTTATTCCAATTGACTGAACAATGAAATGAAAAATGACAAATGTACGAGACAATTGCAATTTTCGGAGATTCATTTCTAGGAAAGTTTCTGTGAATGGTACATTGGAATGAGAACATAAATGTATCAAGCATTGATATTTTTAATTGACTTTTTATTTCAAAATAAAATTCTAGCGGACAAAACTTTCAAGAACAGCACTCATATAAATCGAATACGGACAACTTATAAGCACGTATCCCTTTGCAATCACTTTTCAACTTCAACACAGCTGAATTCTTTTCTTTAAATATGGGGGATTTTATGCCAACAAAGGAGGTATTTTACAGACCAGCATCATTTTATCTATCGACTTTCGTACTCACCTGAGCGTTACGTTTATTTGCTCGGGCACCTGCTCCTGCTGCGTCTTGTCACGTGTCGCCACTGTCGATACTGCCGCGGCTGTTAGTGGCAGATCGCAATTGCCCAGGAGGACCAGTGATGTGGCAGCCAGCGGTATCACGCGCGGTCTAACAACAGCTGTGGGCTGTTGTCGCTCATCGTTGGCTGGTCGGGGGTTTTGTGGGCCGTTGCTATCAGTTGTGGCATTGACGCCACCGCTGCACAGGAATGTCCATTGTGGCGGCGCAAGGCTTTTGTTAAAGCGAGTCGTTGCTGTGCTCGCCACCGTGCTTCTATTCAAGTTAATGACATCTACATTAACGGCCACTGTAGATACATGCGATGGCTCTTGCTGTTGCTGTTTCTGCTGGTGTGGGTGCTGTAGAAGCTGAACGCTGGTTGTTGGCATTGTGGGGAGCGATTGTTGTCGCAAGATTGTTTTAGGTTGTTGTTGCTGCTGTTGTTGCGCAGCTTCGTTGCAGGCATCACAACGTGGCCAATAGCTGCACGTGTCCAAGTTTTTACTGCAACCTTTTCTGGTTGCTTTCGATGTTGATGCTGTCGTTGTTGTCGTTAATGTTGTTATTGTTGTCGCTGCTGACTGCGTGTCGAGACTGCAAAATAACAAGGCGACAATAACTCAAAGTCTTCGCGCGGATGATTATGAGAAGGGCATCTAGGCACAACAATACGAGTGTTGCGGTTGCTGTTAGATTGTTGTCGTTGATGTTAGCTGTTGTTAGTTATCGTTAGCTGGTGTTATTATTAGTTGGCTTCTATTGTACCGAAGTTAAAGATTTGTTATTTACTTCACATTACTCAATTCATTACACCATTTACTGGTTTTTAAATATTGTTGCTGGCTGTTGCAGCATGCAAGTGTTACTGTCAACTTTTCTACGGGAGTTTTATTTGGCACATACGTTTGGGGTCGGTCTCAACATTTTCCGATTGATTATTAAACATTAATGTCTCTATAATTTAATGCACATACATACAGCACTAACATTAAACATACGAATCTATATTTCCCTTTTTTGTGGAGTTCATTAAAAGTACAGTTGCTACCACTTTGGGTTAGTTTGAATACACAAGCAGTCTTTTGATACAACACATCGAGGCATACCTTTAGTGGCTTTGGATAAGAATTAATCATTAGGAGTTAGTTTTTTAGAATTTTGTTAGTGTTCTGATTGAGCCTAGAGGCCTTGGTGCTTTTAAGGTTTGTTGGGAGAGAGCGTGAGAGAGAGATAGATAGAGTTAGCCGGCATTTGTCTTATGGGCTTCCTAGCCGCTTAGTACCTGCTGCTGCGGCTGCTTGAGCCTCCACCGACGCTGCCACCACCACCGCGCGAACCACTTGATGGGCCGCCTGTGGATGTTGCCTGTCTGTATATGTAATCTCCACCCACGCCCACAGAAACCTCCAGCGTTAGATCGTCACGAGAGCCAGGACTTTGACGCAGCGATCTCTGAGGTTTCAACACCGTGGTCGGATGTTCGTAAATGCGCGTCTCATTGCTCATGAAATTCAACTCGCTGTTGCCTCCAGAGTTGATGGTCTCACGATTGCGCAGAACCATGGGAAGCTCGTAGTCGCTGCTGTCGCCGCGTCTAAAGTTCATGATGATAGGTGAACGGTCCAGCGATTTACGGAGCATGTCGTAGGTCAGCTCGTGATCACACAAGCGCGTCCCGTAGCTCTGAGGACTGCTTGTCTGGCGTGCCGGCAAATGAAGATTGTTTGATGAGGACCCCGAAGACTGCGGCGAGCGTGTGGCATTGCGTTCGTGGGTCGCATTTACGGGAGAACTGGACTTACGCAAACGCGATGAATTGGAACTAGAGCTGGCCATAATGGGTGTTGAATCGCTGTGGGCATGCAAGTACCGTAGTCCGCCCGAGCTGTTGCCCGTACTATTATTGTTATTAAGCAAAGCTTCGCGATAATCCTCGTCAAATGAGCGGCTCTTGTCAAAGTCTAGTCGTAGATTCTGATTACTACCGCTGTCGCCACCACTGCCGCTGTTATGGGCCGAGCGAGCGGCACCACTCCGATTGTAGTTGTTGTAATCAAAGTCAAAGGAACGACTCTTGTCCACGTCACTTTGCCGGAGGCGAGCGGAAGTGGATGCCCCAGAATTCAGCCCATTGGAATTATTCGGAACCTTGACTGTTCCCCCGCCACCACTAGCGCCTGTGTTGCGCATGTTTGGCACAAAACCGCCTGCATTTGAGGCTGCGAGACGTGACTGTTGATACATGGGTGCAGGTTGTGCTGTCAGCGATTGCTGCGAAAGTGGTTGCTGCTGATTGGCAGAACCACCCACACCCACACAGACAATAGACTTGTGAGCGCGATTTGGGGAGCGCTCGCTCAACTGCAAGGATCTGTGCGGATACTGGAAGTTATTGCTCCACACTAAAATGCACATTGCCCAACACTTACCTGGAGCGCCTAATGCGATGCTCCTGCTCTGCCTGCTTTGCTGCACTACGCGCTACGGCTCTTCGATGTGTGGTGGCATTCGTAGCCACAACTGCCGCTGGTGTAGCTCCAGTGCCATTGAGAGGCTCATGGCACTCCCCACCGCTGTAGCTCGAGCTCGATGAGCTGCGCGAGATGTTGGGCGGCGTCTTGTCGTCATGGCGCTGTCGTCGCTCCAGAGTGTTGTTACGCGAACTCGAGTTCTGACGCGAGCCCATCAGCGACAGCTGGGAGCCCTTTTTGCGTCGCTCTTCGGGCGTCAACGAACGCGACTCTGGAGTAAGGGAGCGCTGCTTTCGCAAGCTACTCGACGAGCTATGCGACTCGTTGCGATCGGGTGTAAGAGAGCGTTGGCGTTGCGCTTTAAATGGTGAGATGCTTACAGTCGTCGTACTGGCATTAGGATACTGATAGTTGCTAGCCGATAAAAATTCCGTTGAGCCACCATCATCGTCGTCCTCGTTGTCCAACTCATCGTTGGAAAGATCTGAGAAAAGACAAGACACATAGCAATGCTTAATACAGGCCAATTAATTGACTTGTTATGTCTGCTGCTGCCACCACTTAATTGCAAATGAGCTGGAAAACGCCCTCGCCCAATAGCCCATGCCCATGCAGATAGAATTGTCTGCACAACAAAGTTCTACATTGTCATTGCTGTTCTCTATGGCCTTGGCTTAGTTTTGGCAGCGCTTGCTCTCGTTCATTCTCGGGGCATTTGTCATTGTCCATTAGCAGCCACTTGGTGAGCGTGTAAAAGTTTTGGCAGCTCGGTTTTTTGCACACAGTCGACAAATCCCCCAAATACACGTTTTACACTGCACAGAACAACATAGTTTGTACTTTGATGATTGAACTCTTTTTCAATATGTTTGGAAAACATTGAATGGTGTGTGAAAGCAGGTAAAAGCTAGCATAGCCGACATAGAGTCTTCTTTTGCTGGGTTGATGGACTGTAAACCCAAAGTTTTTGCAGCTTAGTGTTGACGATCGCCCACTGGACTGACAAACCGAGTTGAGGTGGGCCAAGCACTGCACACAAGCTTTGTTGGCAATAAAATCTTCTTAAATATAATTTACACAACGTGCGAAGCGCAAAGCCAAAAGTGCAGACAGTGATTGGCATAAATGTGCAATTTGGCCAAAAATGTGGCTATAGGCCGCAGCAGAAGCACCCAGTGCTTGAAAACGAATTCACGCTGGCAGGCAAGCCGACTGAACGACCGACAGGCTCGACGTCCCAAACCGGACATTCCTCGACTGTTGCTGATTGCAACAACTTTTCATTTCAGCCATTGAATTTTGCATGTGCCTTCTGGCAAGGATGCGCACCAACTTGGCCAGGCGACAATTTTTCAGACCGAAAGCAAAGCAATTTATTTGCGCTGCGTGCGCAGTGAGGAGTGACAATGGCATCGGCATCATCATCGTCGTCGTCGTCGTCGTTGCTGACGAGCGCAAAAGAGTGACTTGGAGAGGGGATGGGGGGAGGGGGAAACGGGACCTGAAACTTTAACTTCCGCCGAACATTTGGCCAAATGATGAACACTGCGATGCGATTCAATGAATTCGAAATATGCGGCAGTGAAGCGATGCGATTGAAGCGATTAATATGGCAGCCATCTGTTTGAGTTGGGAAAGTAGAAAGATGGGTTTTGGATTGCTGTTGCTACCGTGGATCCCATTGGAATGGCACCAGCATTGTTATTCATTGTTATACGTGAAAATGATCAATTTAAAACATCAATCGAACAGTTTATAACGAACAATAATGAAAGTAATACTATTATTTTAAATGTTTCTACTGCTTAAAAGATGGAATAGGTCTGAATTGATTTGTGTAGGTCCACACTTTTCTACTTAACTGTGTAGTTATTGGAAGTTACTCACCAGACCGGGCACCGCTGTCACAGGAGTTGAGACGCTGGCTCATTGTTGTATCGAAGCTGCGGAAGCGGGACATGGCCAAGGAGCTGGGAGGCATTGATGCCCCTCCAGAGACACCACCACCCACGCCACTGCCCATGCGACTAAACTGAGATTTGCGGGATCTGCCGAGCACATTGTGGCTCTTAGAGCGCTCAAATGCGCGCTCGTTGCGCGCACGCGGCGAAAACTTAACGCTGGATGGCTGACCTGTACTTGCGCTGGCCACACTATAGGCAGGCGGTGCTTCTTTCACGGATGCATTCAAGTACGCCGTGGTCTGTGGGTGCAAATATTTCGGCGAGTTGTCGCGACTGCGTAACGAGCCGCTGCTGCCGCCGCCGGATTCGCGCTTTGTCAAATAGTTTGGAGAGTTACCCGTCAGCGTGCTGAAGTTGGGCGAACGCTCGCGCTGCACGGCCAGCGGCGGTAAGGGCGGACGTTCTGAAAGATTGCCGTCAAAGCTGCGCGAGAAGGTTTCCACGTAGTTGTCGGTGGGCGTAGGTCGGCGTGTATCATACTCAAAGCTGCGCGAGAAGACCATACCCTTGCCACCACCCACCACCACAGAGCCACCATTGGGAACGTGATGCTGCTGCACTGAGATGAGCTGCGAAGATGGCATGGGCTGGCTCTGGCGACTGGGCTTGCGTCTCTCTAGATGACGCGTGGATCGAGAGTTGTCCTGGAAAGCGGGTGGTGGTGAGAGTATGGGTGTGATTGGTGGCGGCGACTCCAAGTCGTTTAGGCTTTTTACAGGCAAAAAGCCCGGTCGCTCATTAAGTATGCTGGCCAGCTGGGGGTCAATGATTCGGTAGCCAGGCCGCAGCGCCGGGTCGCGTGCAGTAATCCCACCACTAAGGCGGGCCTCATTGCGTTGTATCAGCTCCTCCACCTTAGAGCCGACAAATTTGGGCGCACCATAGGTGGAGGCCGGCTCCATGATACTATGTTGATGTTGCAGACGCGGTGGACCGAAATCCGTTCGACGTGACTGATCAAGTTGCAGCACTCTCATGTTGCTGCGAAGTCCATTGTCGAGCATGGCCCCTCCATTTTGCTGTGCAAAGTGAAGGCGTCGATACCCACCTCGATTCTCATCGTTGGCGCTGCTACGTTTGGTGTTCACTTGCACCCAGCCGGACTTGTTAAGATAGATCTCCTCCTTGTTAGCGGCCGGCGAAGTCGATTTCCGTTGTGTGCCAGGCAGGCCGTAGTAGTGCTCGCCAAAGAGATAGGTTGGCACCCCACCGGTTGGCACAGAGGACGCTGCACCACCGCTACCACCACTCGCGCCGCTCCCACCGTCCATGTGGTAGTGCATTCTACGCGCCTCCAGCTTTTCGTTGAAGCTGCGCGTGGAGGCCTCTAAACTTTCGCGTCGCTTTGCGACGTACTGCTCGAAGGCTGACAAGTGTTGCTTATGTTTGGACTGTTGTTGTTGTTGCTGCTGCTGCTGTTGTTGTTGTTGTTGTTGAGTTGATGGGCTTAGCTCTGATTTGTTGGCATCCTTGATGGATTTAGACTTGCGTGTTTGCTGTTCAGCTGCTCCTCCGGCCGCTCCTGGTGCTCCTGCTGCTGCAGACTCGTTGTCAGGCTCAACGCTTTCATGTCGCTGCTGCTGTTGCCGCTGCTGTTGTTGATGGGCTTTTGAGGGACTGGCGCGGGAGCGTGTGCGTCTACGCTTTGGGGGTAAGGCTGGCAGAGGCAAGCTGCTTACATCAATCTTATCGTGGGTGGATGAGGATAGTTCGTCGTTCTGGGATTCGCGTGTCACCGAATCACGCGTCAAGTGACTATCATCCGACTGCGCCTCACTGGAGTCGAGGCAGGCGTAGTCCTGACGCGTCAGCGGCTTTGATTGAGATGAGGCCGTAGATGATGCAACTGCTGTTGTTGTCGTTGTTGTTGTTGGTATGCTGGTTGCACTGCAAAATAGAGAGGAGGAAAGAAATGTGGGATAAGTTCACTTTTGCTGCTTCGCTTCCATTTATGTAATGCATTCTCTGCCTTGCCAGCCGCCATGCCTGGGCATACCGATACAAAATATTTTGTAATTTTATAATAAAATAGTTTCCGTGCTCATATACATACATACCACATACATATAATTTATTTTCTCAATTCATATTTCAGATACTCAAATATTTTCAACAATATGCATACATAGTAAGTGGCCTTTGCATTCAATTTATAATAGCACATATAAAGCATTCATTCCATTTGCATTATTCTGTACACATTGCAAGCAGCGTATAGTACGTGAGTTTTATGTTCAACTGTGGGCTAAACACATGTACCACCTGAGGTTGGCAAAAAAAAAGAAAAACAAAAAAAAACTGAAACATATCAGAACAGTACAGAATTTCAGAGTAGTTTACCAATGAATAAAAAAGCGTTGCAACAATATCGATTAGACTTTTTTCTCGCCTTGCCATTTGCACACTGGGATATTTTACCCATCAGAATCTCCGCCTGGCTTGAAAGTTTGATATCGAGAGTATCCTAGTATTAACTTTGTGGAGCCTGAAACTTGAACTGAGCTTTTCAATAATCCTGTGTTCTAATCGATAATGGGTTAGTAATCTAATAATTACTGGCTCTTCTGCTCAACAGCACTAGTGATTACGCCATGAAAAATTCCTTTCGACTATGATTCCCTAATTATACGAGTAATACATTTTACTTCCTACTCTCATGTGAGTCCTTCCTTCCTTCCTTCATTGAAATCTTCTTTTTTCAAGTTGCCCCGGCAGAATCCGTGATCACCACTACTGTGAGTAGGAGCAGAGCTTGCCGGACTGGCCAATAAGCATTCCCACTTTTTAGCTTTTATCTACTTAACTATTTTATTTTAATTTAATTTTACTTGCTTCTGTTTTTTAATGTTTATTTCTTCATTTCTATTTCTTTTTCTCTGACTACTCAGTGCTGTGTCCATTTGGCCACCCACCGAGTCGGATTCGCTATTTATCCTTTTTATTTACTCTATAATTTTATTTATTTTAAAGTTCTCTATTGTATTGTTTTTTTTTTTTTTTGTTTTTTTTTTTTGTACATCGACATCATTGTTTGCTGATGAGTTTAACAAAATAAGCAATTGACCCATGACGATGAATTTACAGTATTCCGAAATTCAATAATTACGGAAGCTTTCATGCTTCAGATGCTGTCATTAGATGCATTCTGCAAGTGTGAAATGTGAAATAAAATTTGTGGCTACCATAGTGACAGGAGATTCTTGAAGCTCACCGTAAAGGTATTAAAGGTGCTAGTTTCCACAACGAAAACTGAACTACTCTTCTACTGTGGAATCCCAACAAAAGAGACTTCCGTGCGAAAACTACAACCCATTCAATGTTGTGCCCCAAAATCGATGTGTAACATTTGTAAACACTGCTTTTATCAAACAACGAGTATCAACAATTAAATAAATAAATGTTAAATGCTTTGTCAGCAGCAACAACAGCCAATTGCCAATGCCAATAAACTGTGAGTTGATCTCTTTCTCCTCCAATGACGGGCAATTTGCAGGCAGGCAACACAACTGAGGAGCTAGGAACTGGGGGCTCGCCCGGCACGAGCGCAACACCAAAAAGTTTCGATTGCCATTCCATGGTACACAGTTCTGCACTCCGTGTCTGTCTCAATTCTTGTTGACAGTCAATTGCAAATACATACATATAGTACTACTACCAAACATTGTGCATTTGGCTGGCCGCTTGTAGAGCAGCAAAGTTTCGAGTGCTTTGAATTGTTGCTGCCGGCACATGACAGTGAAATGGTTTCAAGAGCCCAACTTGAAGTGCAACAATATCGCAGCCTATCTGGTGCACAGCCACAGCCACAGTCACAGACACGACAATGTCGTACTATGCTGCAGGACAGAAATTTATTTTAGCACGCGACAAGCGCAACACTATCTCTGTACAGTATTGTTAGGTTTTCTTAGACATTAAACATTACGGAATAAATAAATGAGTTATCGTAAAAGTATGAACATTTGTAAAAGAAAGCGCGCATTGATTAAATTGGTCCAGAAACAATTCCTCCTGTTTGCTCTTCGTGGTTTAAACTTGGACCCAAACCCTCGTTTGCGAAACTATTCAAGCAGACTATAATATAAATAAATCTTCCTTCGCTGGCTAATCGGAGGTCTGGCCTTGGAGTTGTGTCCTCCACAAATTGATTGTCGGTAGTGTCGATTCTCCCTCCTTTTTAGGTCGTCTTAATTTCTCAATTCCTCGCAGAACAACAAGAGATTATCTTCCTCTTCTGTTGACAGATGTATAACTGATTGTGCATCGCAATGCTTTTCGGGTTTTATGTGTTTTTTTTAGTGTTTTTGAAATAAAATAAAAATAACTTGCATAGAAATAGAAACAGGCTTGGCTATATGTATTTATTCCTTTCCGTTTGTACAACATGTGGCCAACTATTCCCCTTTCTTGGTGTTAGAAGCGTACGCACCAAAATCAATGTACCTCTAATCCCTTCAGCGATGAAGGGTGGTAGGAGAGTTGAAGCAATTGCAAGGATTTAGTGTCTAGAACACAGTCCAGATTAACATAATAAATACTAAAAACATTGCATAAAATGTGCGTCACAACAACACATTTATGCACTTGACCCTGAATTCTGTCGTGCAGTTTGTCGCCCAAATATGTTACGTTCATGGCTTATGCTGTGGGTGTTTGTGTGTGTTGCGTTATTATTGTTGTTGTTTTCTGTGTGTGTGGGCAGAAAATGCCGCTCAACCGGTTCCAAGATAATGAATTTATACTCGTATGTTTCATAACTCTTATTGTGGCACGCATGACTTTTCATGGAAAATAAATAATGCAATTTTTAGTTTGGCAAGCACTTTGAAGAATTAAGCAGTTAAACGGCAAAAACTTGTTAAATAGAATAAACAATAATTTATAAAACCGAGATATTACAAACACAAGAGCCATTCTCAAAAAAGCACACGTAAATAAAAATATCTACCCATAGGTCTGAATATTTCTACCATCGGTTGTAAACATAAAATGTGCACACTAAAATATTGATTTTAAAACATATGTAAAAGAGTCAACAGTTTAATCAAAGGTGTATATTTTTAAGTCCAACAATATGTATATGCATTTTTCTTTTCTTTTAATCAAAAGCAAAATTATGCAACTCAAATATATAACGAGAAAAGGTCACTTATGTGTAAAAAGCATAATCATTTCTAGATTTTTTTCTTATCTTTCAATTTTTTCAAAACTCAAATAACTGATTGGAATAAAAACCTATATTTAATGCTCAACCAACGTGGTAGTAATGTCAATGACATTTTTACAACCCACGCCGTTCCGAAGCAAAACAAAAAAAGAAATTGTCGTCTATATTCTAGTAGGCGCACAAAAAGAGTCATGTGTTCATAGTAAGCGGCGCATAAACTTTTACTTCTGCCTCGTTGTTTTACAAAAACAACAAATAGGGCCGCCAGCAACAAAAACTACAACGAGAACAAAGTACATTTTTGCTTAAAGTTTGTTGCCACTATGTGGAAAGGGGGCCAGATGTAGGGCTGTAGTCCCACAACCGCTCATCAAACACAGTGCGTATTTGTGTGTGTGTGTGTGTGTGTGCAATTGTACACTGAACAAAATTTGTTGTTCCCAAAAGATGGGTAATGGTGGATTGTTTTCATGAATATAATTGAATTGAATATATATAAACTAAATGATCCAGAAATGAATTTGATATAACGATGAGTTTCAATTTATAATTCCCGTTTTACATTATTGCGATACAGGGAGGACGAATATCTGTTTTGTCTTGAAAATTGAAAAATTGTATGCGTTATAGGATACAACAATCGAAACTATTTAATGGCAGAATTGATGTGCTTGCAGATGTTATATTTCTCTATGAGCTAGAACGGAAAGTGTCTAAGAATTTCGTATTATATTCTTGGCCAGATTTGTAGGAAAAATGTATTCACATGAATTTTTTATTCTCTTTTGAGTGTATGTGTGTGTGTGCCTGTGCATTTACTTCCACTGGGCTGGGCAATAAGATCTACTGGAGTGGTAGACTGGCAGGCAGGCAGGCAGCCGTCAGAGGCTTGTTCTGGAAAGTTTGTTGACATGCATCTCGATTCGACTTCAACTCGCGACTTGAACTTTCTCAATGCAATTTTAAATGTGCGGCATTTACAGTTTTCTTCTACTTGTGAAGCTGTTTGATATGGCCTTTTGCAATACAATGGCATGCGGGTAGGAAGGAACCCCCACACATAAATCCACCCATTCAGCTTGAGTTGACAACCACAAGAGCCAACAGCCAAGAGCCAAGAGGTAGCAGCCATCCGTGCGCTGAGCAAATTTCTTGTCGTCTCTTGACGTTACCGCAAAAACAGAAATTATCATTTAAGAGCGTGTCGTTCCGTAAATGGTCAAAAGCCAACAAACCGCAGACAGTTCGTTGCGCTGAGCCTACGAAGATTTTTGAACGCGTGGGTGCTAACAACTTTGAGTTCAATTTGCGGCAATTTCGAAACTTGTTCTGTGCGTGTCAAAGTGGATTAGTCAGTGTCTAAAGAAGGCCATTGACAATGTGCTTAAAAAGGCGCTGCCGGAATCCAGGCAGAACGGGCTAAGAAGTTCAAAAAATGCACAAAATCATGTTAAGGATGACAAAGGCGGAAATACGAAGAGAGCAATTGTATAAATCAAAAGTTAAATTAAAGCTTCTGTCGATCAAACCAACAATGGAACTTTTCAAATACCGATCGTTTTCATTAAACAGTTTGTCAATTTAAAAGCGCTGATGAGCTGAAAGCCTCGGCAGCTAGTGTTCCAAATTTTAAGTAGGTTAGGAATTAATAGTTTAATATACTAACCTAGCTCTATGAATAAATATATTAATTAAATATTAACAAGATCTAAAACTAGCA